ATCAAATAAGAACGGAGAAATCGTTACTTCATACCTATATTAAGGTGTTGAATACTAGGTCCCAATCAAATAAGAACGGAGAAATCGTTACTTCATACCTATATTAAGGTGTTGAATACTAGGTCCCAATCAAATAAGAACGGAGAAATCGTTACTTCATACCTATATTACCTCACTACCTCAAGTACAGAAATGCTACTTTTTTTGCATGTAATCTTGTTTTTTTCCCATCAATAACTACGCAATTATAAAACCTGTTTTAAGATGTTGAAAATCAAACCTGTTTCTCACATCAACGATCATAAACTAATTATATGTTGATTTATTAATATCAACGTCATTACAGGCTCGAGTCACTCAACACAAGATATTTGTAAACAAAATTAAAAATAATCCTTTCAATTTAGAGTTTTCTAAAAAGAAAGAAAATACGTTCAGGGATTTTAACTGTATAGAAGTCAAGAAAAGTATTACAGTGTATATTTCATGCTTTCTTTCAGACTTTGTGCTTTACCAAATACATACAATATTCCTCTTGATATTGAACGGTTACTTAATAGTGTGATGGTCACACGCTTAAAAATGTAATGAATTAAGTAGAAAAGTCTTTCATTTTATAAAAGTAACAGGTTTATATTATTATTACAAAAAACTATCACAAAACTTCTTTAGGCTGATCATGAATGAACTTGTGTAAACTAGAATAAAAGAGAAACATCTTTCAATTGATAGGTCTTGACTACGTTTTGCGAATGCGAGACCCATGTCGTAGAGAAAATGTTTTATAATCGCAATTAATATCGGGTTTTAGTTTAAAAGAAATGATGACTACATTGTCTAAATACTCGTATATCAGTATTATCAATAATTAGTTATATTTCCAACTGGAAGTACAAATTAGTGATCAAGTTCTTATGCTACATGTATAATTACGTTTGAAGTAATATGTTGAAGCAATTTTACTGTAATATGTCAATAAGTACATTACGATTTTTCAATTTAAATTAGCACAATATTTTGAAGAAACTTGTCACAAGTTCACTGTAATTCCCTGTAACTAAATATTATAAACTATTAATAAAATTTGATTCACGAGCTTTCAGGCCTTCGTCGTGGGGAATGTTTGTGTAAAGAGAAGTGACGTCCATAGTGCAGAGAAGAGTGTTTGGACATTTCTTCTCTTTACACAAACATTCCCCACGACGAAGGCCTGAAAGCTCTTGAATCTTCCCTTTTTGAAACTTGACAAATCCAACACTCAATAAAATTTGATGAAGTTTCTCAAATTATTCCTTACATCTTTGAAAATCACACGTGTACAAAAAAACAGACAGACAAAGCATTACAATGACCTCAATCTATTTCTACATACTGGATGGAATTGCTTAAAACGTAGGTATTCTACCCTTACCGACTTAAAACAGCATGTATTTTTTGTTATTACAACATCGCCTTATAATAGACATGCAAAAACAATTTCTTACGAAACAAGCACTGTTTATAATTTTTAACGACCAATTAAAATTAAAAACTACTACATTTTATTCGTGATTTGATAAACTTTCAAATATTGTACTTGATGAATAAAAATTGTTTTACTCACCCCTAAACTTAATAGTCAGAAGATAGACATAGTTTTAAACCAAACAGCATCGCAACATTCGTTTTCGATACTATACGACAAGAAGGAAGATCTGAAGCGTAAACGTATTTTTGGTGCCAAGTGGCCCCACACCTGTGGCGCCATAATATGCTCTCGTGACTAGCTTCGTAATCACGTGACATATGTTTCAAACATGCCCAGAAGAATAATGGCTGGAGACGGCTTGAATGGGTAATGAAGAAAAACTTTAATATAAGTTTAACATAACAGC